TAACACTGATGTGACCAAACCATTGCCAATCATACCACAAAAGCCCACATCAAAACACTCTTTCTACCTTTTTGGACTAAAGGTTAACAATGACTTGAATAGAACGATCGGAACAGCCCGAGTCCAAGTATTCTGTCTGATTGCCAATAGGAACATAGACGCATGGACAAACAGACAGAATATCCCCCTTAATATGTCCGGTAAGAATATCTGTACGACTCTTTGCATCATGGAGTTTGGAGAAAATGGAAAAATAAACCAAACCGTTTGTAGCTGTACATGTACAAAAACAATTGATATTGCGTCCGCCAGATAACCATACAATAATACGTGTATATAATCAACTCAAAATAAAAGTACTATTCTTGTCTAAGTCTTTAGAGTCAAACCTGTCTGGATATGTATCCAGGGTATTGAACAGATATTCCTACCAGGGCCTGAACTGGGACCATATTTTTCTTACAATTATACGCTTTTGCTTTTATTCTATAACCCAAAAGTTTTTTAGACGATAGCAAATTAAAACATACTTGCAATAGTAGTTAGCCTAAGGGCTTGTGGTAAAACAAATGTTGATAGGAATTAGTACGTCAAGTACAGTCCAATCAGGTAGATTGGAGGAAAATTGAAATGTCAAAGGCTGAATACTCGCTGGGATTCTGTTGGTGACGAAGTCATGGCGTACTCGTGGCGTGCTCGTGACGTGGTCGTGGCGTGCTCGTGATCACTTTTAGAAGGAAAGTGTCTTTACCGACCTGGATGTTCACGTGCTGCACTACTTACGGCGGTAAGTGTCCTCGGCTCCTGTTTCAATTGTTTGGCCACACCAAGTAAGTTTTATGGATGGCGTCCGCGCGCGCATTCATTTTGGCCTGTTCGCAAAATAAAAAAAATAAAAAAAGAAATCCCCCTTCTTGTAACTATGACCCAAGGAGTCACGACAGTGGGATAAGGGAAGATGTGATTGACGAAAAGATACAGGACAGGACAACTGCTGTTTTATTGATTTATTGCTGTTTTCGTGACGAACAAAAGACTTGTTGGTAGTTACACTGTGTTCTCTCGTTCAATTTGTGTCCTAACATTTGTCGTCCCTTCCCCTAGTATATTTCTATTCAAGGCAACCTGCTTTTTTCGGTCCTTCTTGTTTTTTTTGTTTTGTTTTTTTGTTTTTGTTTTTTTTTGTTTCGCGCTCCAGATCCATAAAAATTACTTGTTTGGCCTTATCACGTGCCAGCTCTCATCTCGCCACATTTGCCATCATGCACCGTTTATGTAATGAGATAATGAGTAATGTGCAGGCAACTGACCTATCCAATAGTTGCATTTTTGCATCTATTGGTCTGGAATACGTTTATGACCATAGTTCTTTGTAGCTACAATGTTGTAGCAAAATCAAATCGTTCTATGTCATTCATTACCATTCATTATTTTTTCTTCTCACAACAATGATGTGCATGTATAGGGCTGTGCCCATGTCCGTTTCTATAGCCCTTGTGCAAGCACTACAACAGAGGCTGAATTTTACACCATGTTAAGAAAATATATCGGATTAGAAGATAAAAAAACACAGAATAGATACACTTCAGCTAAAGTCGGAATTTCTTCCTGAGTTAATGTTTGATTGCAATATACACTTTTTGGTATAGGTCTTGCACAGGTAAGACCAAAGGTGTCTAAATCTTTCTAGGTATCGAGTTGGTGGCGCCAGTGGTTAATTAGCGTCCCATAGAATTCCATAGGTGAATATCGTGTGAGAATATACAAACCTCATTTCTTCGTCTTATACAAGGTGTAACCTTCATGTATATGGTGGCCGGTAGTAGCCCCCAAATCTATTCATACACAATTATGATAATACTTTTCTGTCATAGACCATGGGATGTGTCCACTTTTCGCCCCCAAACGTTTTGCTAAGTTGAATATGTAAGAGAAGATTTTTCTCTCTTAATTCATTACACAAAGACTTTAAATCTAGACTATTTGTTCATTTCTCTTTTTTACAGTGACAACATTGCGGTTCTAAACGTTTACTACGAGGCTTTAAACTACGAGTCGATCGTACAGATCCCAGCCATCGAGACAGAGGGGTTATTAGGTAGGTACTCAGAACAGTCATTCACCCTGGTCACATTTGGGCCAAAATATCCCAAATTTCTTTCGAACCGGTTAACCGAATCATGTTCGATATGACGTAATCAGAACCGAACGTTCATTTGATTTGGTGATTTACATAAACCAGGGACTTCAAGCCCTTTTTATATGAATCATCATCATCATCGGTCGCAAGCAAGGTTGGCGATCTGCTTTTTCGTCAGCTGATTGTACTCGTCTCCCAGTAATTTTTGGACGTACTTGAAGTATATTATATGAATACCTTCTAAAATACTCTCTGCTGCCAATTTCAGTGGATCATGTAACGAAGCTACTGCCGTCATCGTGGGTGAAGATCGTAATTCTTGTTTGTACCGATATCAATTACCCCCTCCCCCTATCCATGCGGCATGACCCACGTGCAAACATGGTATTTTAATCACAACAGAAACAAATTCAACTTATCTCAACATCGTTTGAAGGCAGAACAAAAACAAGACAAAAATCCCGGACTGTGATGAATTTTTTTTTCAAAGATGGCGGCACTCGCACTCTGGAATTATGGGTCTTGAAAGATGAAAAAAAACTTTAATTGTAGGAGCATCACAGCTTACTACTGTTCTATCTACTTCCTAGGTGACCTTGGCGGGCAGATGGGACTTTTTCTGGGCGCGAGTTTCCTTACACTGGTGGAGGTATTCGAATATCTTATGGACGAGCTCTATGGGAGGGTGCTCAAGAAATGTTGCCGGTGCAAGGCTACCGCATCTGCCCATACTACGTCTCCATCAGCCGACGTGCTGAGTGTGAACATCAACGGCAGTGCGACACAGCTCCCACAGACTAGTCGCGCATGACTAGAGCCGGGCGACGGCACAATGTCGTGCCTGGTCTCCACGCATTGCGCATGCGCAGGGAGAAAATTTGGCTGCCTGTGTACGGACTCTGGTGGGGATTGTTTCTGTGGGTCAAAGGTCGCGACGGCTGATTCGGAACTGTGATAAACTCGTTTATATCTCTTTAACACCTACACACTGCGAGTCTGCTGAACAACAGCAACCGTATTGTGGGGGTTGCTGCTACGAGGCAGGTCGTCAAAAAGTCTCTTACGAGAGAACCTGTTACCTTTGTCAGTCTTTCCAGGAAAGAAGGGGTACCTTTTGTATGTGTTGCAAACTGTAAAGAGACATCATGCTGTCTCAGCAGAATGTTACAGCTTACGGCAACGCTAGAAGGTGAAGTTGTAGTTGTGAGCTTATCCGGACCATTCAAACTGAAGATATCAAAATCCCTCAACATTTCGTTGAGGTCTATTGTCTTTACAAAAGCTCATCCTAGAGAGAAGGGGTTTATTGATGCCCTGTATAGTGGTCGCCACTTCTCGCTATTGCTAGACAAGATGACGAACAATTGAATCTTCTTGCAAACCCTCCCAAAATCGTTGCGCTCCTCTGTGTAGCATCTGTTCGAGTAATCAAGAAGATTGGACCTTGTCGTGCTTATGGGCTTTTGTATCCAATGAGAAGTAGGATGTACTATTTTGTACTAGACGTTTTAAGTCGATACATGGCTGTCGTAGACAACATTTGCAGGAGACCACAATTACTTTTTATGTCTGTACTTTTGATTTTGTCAATGCTTTTGTGCGATCTGGGCTTCGCACAGTCTTTAAAACTACAAGTATTGTTTTCAACAACACCGTTTTCTCCGATAGTCAGTACTTGTGATCACCCAGGTCGGAGAGTGGCCATGAGTAAAGACTGTTGGAATACAAAATTATATTATTAGAAGGGTAATGTATTAGAGTTTTCTTCTCTTGCATTGCCCTCAAAGTGGATTGATATACTCACAATTAATCTAGGGCTTGTTCACATTTACTAGTCGGTCTCCTCAATGTTGATGTTTCTCTAGATTTCGTAGAAAGTATCCGTGTGGACATGGTGTATGAGGATAGTTTTTTAGACTAGAAGAAATTAAAGTGGTACATCATAGGTATAATGTATTTAGTGGTTCTGTCGACAAATGTCCGTTGCATTTTCAATGTTACTGTATATATCTACTTACATGTTAGTAATATTGGTGTTGATATTTATTGTCTTTGATTAGTTCCCATTGTATTGTGTACCGATAATATTATATTGTGTGTTTTAAGTGTACTCTGTGTGTAGCCTCGTGTTGGCACAACGTCTCGCAGACCGTGGGCTAACCACGAGACTTTGTGCTGACTGGTGGCTAGACCTGATTCCTTGCCAGTATTTTCAAATAAATACGTAAAAGGGAAGGTACTAATCCCAAAGTATTTGTCCTATACATTTCTTTTACTTCAGAACAGTGTGAATCACAAACTATATTTGAGTATCAATTGCTGTTTTTATTTTTTATTTATGCTTTTAGATGGTCTAGACCGACAAGTTATTTTGCTCGCGTCTTCGCGATGATGAAAATACACTTACGACAGTTTCACCGTCGAAAAATAATCTTCCAGGAAATACACTGGTCTTCCAAAAAATGCAACAGCAAAACCAGAATATGACATTTTACCTTAAGCTGGAAAGAGAAAATATGATGGTTCCAGTTTCGAACGGAACTTGGTAAGAAGCTGGCTTTGATTGTATTTATTTATTAATTGGTTGTAACGTGTGTTTGACATGTTTGTCTCGCTGTGGAATCGTGTTCGTTTCAAGCCACTGTCACACTATTAGAATTCTAGAACCTTCCCCCCGAACACCAGCCAACCAAGGGTGGCTGAAGTTCGAGCACAGTCTGACCAGATTTAGGCCACTCCACGAATCAAAAATCTAATTTGAGTCCAATCTGACTGCCAGCCACACCCCGATCTTCTACCAATCACCTGCAAACCACCAGCCAACCATAGCCGAACCTCTTGTCTACACCCGGGTGTTTTGAACATTTTGAAACATTTGGCTGGTGCAGCAGAACATTAGCTGACCTGATCAAACACCAGTCAACCACAGCCAACATTGTTCCTGACCTACTCCTTACCATGTTTGTGGGGAGTTTGACTAGTGTTCGGGAGGCCATATTCAGCTATGTGTGGCAAGGGCTTTATTGTTACCAAATTAGATACGACATGTAGATTACAGTCAGTGAATATTTTGAGGTGGCTCCGGATGACATTTTGAAAATTTCCAGGTAAATTTTCATCTATTTTAAAAAGGCATTTCAGAAATTGCCACTTCTGGTCAATAAATCAACTTTGAAATATACCGGTCAAAATTTTTCAACATGGAACAACATCGGGCAATATCTTTTTTATCAAAAATAACTTTGTGATTTAATAACACAATTTAATCTTCGGTTTGACTAACCTGAAAATGTAGCTGTTGGTTACAATTGAATCTTCGTTTTTAATAACATGGCTGTTGATAGTGTTGGTGTATAAGACTACTAGTACCATAAATGTCTTGTTAAAATCTGTATTAACGCAATTATGATAATAGCAAGAACTTTGTTTTCTTTACAGTGACAACATTTTGGTGCTAAACTTATACTACGAGTCCCTGAACTACGAACTGATTCAGCAGATGCCGGCAATCGAAACGGAGGGACTTTTAGGTAAATTTGGTTTCCATCGTAGACGTGGTTGGTGTCTACGTGCTTGTAAATGATCATTCTTTATTAGTCTGCTGCTTACACTGTTAACAATGACAATTTAAAAAAAGAAAACCATTTCTTTCTCCCAGGTTGAAGACTTATGAATATATACAAAGTTTATTTCTATATCTGTTTTTTTTTTTTCAGCAAAAGTCTAGCGCAAATGCGATGCAATTACTCCGCTAACGTTGTTGCATACTCCAGAGAATTAGATAGTCTTTCTCGTAATCCAGGTGACCTGGGAGGACAGATGGGACTCTTCCTAGGCGCCAGTTTTCTGTCACTGGTGGAGATATTCGAATACCTGATGGACGAGCTCTATGGGAAAGTGCTCAGGAGATGCTGCCGGTGTAAGGCGGCATCAGGGGCGACCAACGCTTCCCACTGTGCTGACGTCGTGAATTTGAACATCAACGGCAGTGCCACACAGCTTCCTCAAACCAGCCGCGCATGACTAGGATCGGACGGCGCGTCGTGTCTGGTCTCCTCGCAGTGCACGTGCGCAGAGCGGACATTCGGCTGCCTGTGCACGGAGGCTGACTGTGACTGCCTATGCGGGAGACCCAGCCCGACGCTGGAGGTAGACGCTTAGTTCGATATGTCAACAAATGTCTCTCCTCCTCGCCGAAATAACAAAGCAGTTAGTTTACTGCAACCTTGTGTTGTCGAAGGCCAATCTCTGATGAAAAGAAGTATCAATTCCGGGACTCAGCTTGATTTGTACTTGATGCAAGACGTAGATATTGTATATACTTTTCATGTTACATTTTAACTAAATGTACAAGATCAGACTCCAATTGTATAATAGCTATAGCTACTCTAATCTACGAATTTGTCCACGTGTACAGCACTGCGTATCGCCTGATGTTTTCTGTACATGTGTATCTAGAGAACTTCAAACAATTTGGTTTGAGTCTTCTCTTGCTGTGAGAAAAGCCCCACGTTCGAGGGAGAAGTTTGGTCGCTTCTTGCCGCCATTTTGGAGAGACGATGATCACGTGATTCTTCTTGTAAAGTCTCCCATCATCCACTGCGCTCCTCTACGTAGCACCTGCTCGAAAACGTCAGAACTTACGAAGACTAGACCATTCGGCGTGCGGGTTTTCCAACACAGAATCCCTACGTTTTTCTCTTGTCCTCGTTCTTTGATATATTTCCATAGTTGAAACGAAAGTGTTGTAACGTACCTTGTAAAATCGAAGATGTTTAAAGACAGCAAATAGGACAACCGAGCTACAATTCCTATAAATTGTGCGCAACGGTTTGTGACTGGCAAGGGCACATTCTTACAGGTCGGAGAAAGAATGTGCCCCATGCCGGATCGGATGCCGTGTAATACTGTCCAGGCGAAACGCCAGGAAGCTTAATATGCACTTGGACATGCGTTAGAGTAAGACAAATGAGCCTCATGTTGTTAATACTTAGATACTGACAGTTGATGTGCTTCAATTTGTTAGCGACCACCAAGTTAGACATGATTACAGTGTTCTATATGTACGTAATTGCTACCATGTCACAACTGCGTGTGGCCATTTTTGAAAAAAAAAAAAAACTAACCACTGTGAATTTATGTACCGCGAGATTCCACGAGATACTACGAGATTCCCCATTGGGGACCTTTGTACAGTAACCTTATCAAAGTGTCATAAAATCATGCCCTGCGTACGTGTGTATCATTACACGCTTTTCAATTAGAAAATGATTTCTCATGTAATTATCCTCACATTATATCAGGACTTGTCAAACAACACGGGTAGATTAGGATTTCATGGACTGGATTCTTTTTACGCAAAACAGTTTATTGCCATCCATTTGTCTTGCTATGTATGATTGACTTGTATGTAGCTTTACGCTCCAAAATCCTCTACAAAACCTATTGGCTAAAGCAGAGAAGCCATTCTGTCATGTTTGCCTCTCATTGCATGAAGTCATCGTCGGGCCACAATGTGGTTATTTCCTGCACCGTAACGCAATAAATTCAGTTACTTGCCAAAATGAACTTGTTTGTCTTGACTATAGCAACGTCTACTATTTCCTACTTACATACGATTGCATAAGATTAAGTATCTACCATTGTAAGATGTTTCGGTAGTGTTGAATGTTGTGGAATGATGTATATAAACTTGTCGATGGGCTTGGTAAACGTTTAGGATATCCGGATATTGAATTTAAGTATTTGAGACGTATGCAACACAAGACGTTGTAACGGAATGCGACGTATATGCTAACAAAACTAATGACGGAAGAAACACCAGCTTAATGCAGTACCCAATCATTATTCTCTACCATGACATTAATTATAATTACAATGTTCTAAAAGCCCGGTCTCATGACATTCATAAGTACACAATAATTAATTTTCACATTTCATCTCTCATCTATACCTTATTCTAATTACACGACCGTTGGGGCATCACAGATGATCTGATAACCAGTTTTCTGTATCCTTCTCGGTTTTCTGTTCCTCTTAGCGTTTCAGTTGGTGTCAAAGTGGTCCATGATTTTAACACTCCCGGTCTTATCTCTACAAATCATGTAGACCTTTCTAAAGGTCTCGCGTAGGTTACTGTATATGCACAAAATGATCTCATATAACTTGTGCTCATTGCACCACCCATCGCACCGGACCAATATGGATGCCTGAATCTCCAATACTGATGGACAACAGCCAGAACTGATGCTACAATCCTTTGAAGGTTGCCCTGGGGTAACGTAGAACGTGATTGGTCAATCAGCAGGTCCTGACCTTTTCAAAACTGGGTCAGATCCAATGATTATCTTCCTTATATATTTCATGTGACATGGAAACTCATTTGTGCCCCCCCCCCCCCCAAACAGTCAGGCCATTCATAGTCAGCTCATGCACATATAAAAGACTGCTTTTTTTAATCAAAAAATAAAACCGAAACTCATTATTATCTCCACTCTATTGTAACACTTTATCAAAAACAGACTTTTGCAAGCCTTGTTGTTTGAGTAATTAGGATTTATTAGGTTATATTAGGCCTTATTCTATATTTTTGTTGTACTTTGTTCCATAGTTGCAGTTGTCTTACAATAAACTTCTTCGTACGTTTTTTATAAGCTTCAGCTACCGATACGGTATGCAGGCTATGAAACAATTAGATGTTTTATTAGATGTGGATGACCTGGGTGTCATGGAGGAAATGAAAGCGCCAGCCGATAGCCTGATTTTACTACCATGATGCCAAGAATGAAAGGGTTCAACCGAGGTGAGGGGTT